ATGTACCAAGAATGTTCTAAATTAGGGAATCGGTTAAAGCTATACATTTGGTATTCGGCTTCTTAAGATTACCGAAATGCCCTAGACTTGGAAATTTGGTATTCTAAACATTATTTCGAGTATTAATTATGTTGAATTTTAAAGTTATGGAATGACCGTTAATTATATGTGTATGACATGTTGTCACTTTTATTTACTTGCAAATCTTAAACGAGACGTTTTGGTCACAAAACATTATTTACCTTGCAAGCTATTTAGTTTAGTTATTTTTGGTAAAATATTTAAATTATTCAAAAAAAAAGTGAAGTGTAGTGCACATTTTTATAAAATGTACGAGCAACAATTAATATATAATGGTGTCACACTATTAATAATATTTCAAGAAAATATTTGAGCGAAACATGAGATATGATGGTATCGGGGGTGGATCAATAGAAAAATGTTAAGAAAAGTTGTGTTAAGATTGTTAAGGAATAGTAATCAATTTAATTACGATTATTTAAGATGCTTAGGAATAGTATAAATTATCATGTAGGTTGCGGTTTTTGAGAGAACGACTCATCGAACGTTAATGATTCAAGGTGAGTACATTATGCGATTTTTATGGGATATATACATAATTATTACAAAAGTATTTTATCCATGATATTTACATGATGTGTTTATATGCATATGATGATAACTTGATTATATTGATGTGCATGATATTTAAGTATATGCATGATATAAAATGTGATGTTAATGAGAAAGATTATGATGACTTGATATTATCATTATGATATTCAAGTATGTGTATAATGTGGAAAATGACGATGATGCATATGTKATTTATGTTGTCACTTGCATGAGATGTATGTTGCATGTCACAATAAGATTTGCATTAATGAGTAAGTATTACAAATATATGATATGCAACTAGTATGATTCGGCAAGAGTCGTCCACCATACGGAGTGGGTTGGACATGAAAGGAGGGCTTGCAATTCCGAGGTCTTGGAGTCCTCGTCCATAGAATACGCCACATACGCAAAGAAAAGTGACGAGCCGAGGCCTCACTTGCAAGATAATAACTAAAATACACTAAAACACTGTTTATGTGTGCATGTGATCATGAAACCATATTGTATTCACTAAGCTTTTAGCTTATATTATACATGTATATATCTCAGGTATCAATTGTCAGTAGACGCGTTGAATGAAGAAAGAGAAAACTATGTTTTGAATCATGCTTGATTAGATATTTAATTAGCATTGATTACGTTAAAGTATTTTACGCTTCCGCAATTATGTAACGAATTATGTTAAACATATTATGTGTGTTTGAAATTTTAAGTTCGTATTTTTGTTCATGACATAAGTTATTAAGAATGACGTCACGGTACTCGAACGAAAGAAAAAAAAATAGGGTGTGACATTTACATCTATGATATTTTTGGAAGCTGGGTTTATACATGTACTGTGAATTTGTTATATTCAAGTCATATACTTTATGGGAAGAAAAATTTTGTAGCTACTTTTGTATGTAGCAATGTATTTATTAGGGAACAGTGTGTAATATTTGTATTTCATGTTATATGAAATATGTGAGTTTTATGCAAATCTGGGATGGGATGTTACAACACGATAATCTCCTCCAATTGCATTGGCCAATGCCCTTTCTCTTCCTCTCCATCTCGCCAACACGTTGTTTATTATCTCTCTTTTTCTCGTTCCTATCGAAGGCGTCGACATAGTCCTCGGCATGTTATGGCATGGTTTTCTTGGCCCAATCGTGGCCAATTTTTTCGTCCCTTGTCTCACTCTTACCCATGACAGTAGCAATCTATCGCTCTCTAGAGAGCCCCTTGCCAGTCTGTGAAGTCCAGATTTCATACAAATCTTGATCAGATCTTCATAAAAGCTCAAGAACAAAGATGAATGAATAAGAATGTAAGATAGATTG